TCTTCCTCTCCCTCTCCTCTTTCTCTTCTCCTCCTTCCTCCTTCCTCCTACTTCTTCATTCCCTTAAACACTGCCCGCGAAGCCGCGCTTCCACGTCGATTTGTAAGAGAGATCCCATTGGCCATATTCATCGCCTGCACGCCATTCCACCTTGAGCTGGTACTTAGTTTTTTACCCCCCTCCTTTTTTTATCCCCCTCCCTCCGCTCCTCACCAAAACCCCTAAACTTCGCCCACAGCCACCACTCAGAAGAAATCGGTCGAAATAGAAACTTCATTCATTAACTCGAAATCGACGATCGCCTGCGCCTGAACGGCTTTTTTTCTTTTTTCTTTTTTCTTTTTTTTTTTTTGAGGAGGGGGGGGGAAACTAAATGGCTTGCACAAAGGCGTTGGGAAAGAGCAAAATAAAATGAAGCGGACGCCTCCCCGCTGTCTTCGCCCGCCTTCCAGCTAATTAGCTTACCACGCGGTGATTGTGGGTGAACCTGGACGAGAAAGTAGATACCATACACAAATACAGGCAGACATAAGGATAGACATGGACGCAGACAGACAGAGAGACGCCGAGAAAGAGACACAGAGAGAGAAGGAGAGGAGGAGAGAGACAAAGAGAGGCGAGTAGGGGCCACAGAGAGAGCGAACAAAAAGGGAGGAAAAGATACACGCACTTCTACGCACACAAGACAACGACACGGAGAGAGAGAGAGAGAGAGAGAGAGAGAGAGAGAGAGAGAGAGAGAGAGAGAGAGAGAAAAGGGAGAGAGAGAGACGCACTCAAAATGGAGATCTCTGATAAGACAGTCGTGTCGTTACTGAGATGAAGAGAGGGAGCAGGGGGGAACACAGCGCGAACAAAAAGGAAGACAAAGATACACGCACGCTACGCACACAAGCGAGAGAGAGAGAGAGAGAGAGAGAGAGAGAGAGAGAGAGAGAGGGAATATAATAGACACAAATGACAATTGCCAGATCCGTGAGAAAAGGGGTCTCCCCCGGCGATCAGATCCGTTCAATGAGAATTACTGCTACTGGAGCGGTGGGTACAAACCGACTGACTGGCGAGAAAGAAAAAAAAGAAAAAAAAAAAAAAGACTAACTAGAGATTCCCGCGTAAAGCCAGCTTCATTGAGACGCAAAATGAGCTTCTTCTCTGAAATGGGATCTCTTGTAGGTAGATCTGCGAAGAGAAGGGAGGAGAGATGCAGGAGAGATGGAGGAGAGAGGGAGGAAGAGAGGGAGGAGAGAGGGAGGAGAGAGGGAGATCTCGCTACGTGGAGCGAGAGGGAGAGAGGGAGTGAGATCTCCCACTCTAAGGAGACGCGGAGAGAAGGAAGGAAATTGAAAATTTTGAATCAGATCTCTCTTCCAACCCGGACAGAAGAAAGGATACGAAATCTCTCTCTCTCTCTCTCTCTCTCTCTCTCTCTCTCTCTCTCTCTCTCTCTCTCTCTCTCTCTCTCTCTCTCTCTNTGTGTGTGTGTGTGTGTGTGTGTGTGTGTGTGTGTGAGAGAGATTGAACAACGGACACGAGCCCGGAACGCCGCTATGTTCTCCGCGTTCCTTCCACTGCGTCCACCTCCTCCTCCTCCTCCTCCTCCTGGTCGTTGTCGTTAAGCAGTAGCACGACCACCTCCTTCTCCTTCTTCAACTGCCCCTACTCTCCTACCCTCATCCACGTGTCCACGTGGACCTGCCGGCAAGTTCAACTGCAGGAGTCTGCCGTGTGTCAATATCCCCGAGTTGACATCGCGCCATTGTGACGGTCGACCCACAGCCCGCGCGCTACACAAGTAATGAAATGAAAAATGCCACCCTCGCTTCGCCGTCCATCTTCGCCCGCCGATCTACTTTCCCTTGCCGCCAGAGTACTTTCCCTTCCCGCCAAATAACCTCTGGCGGCATGTCAAAAAAATACAAACAAAACGTCCTGCCCCGCCAAAACCGCGTTCGTTGGTAGTGAATTCCGCCGCTCGCTCCCCCATCCCCGCCGCGCCCTCGTACTAGAAAGCCCACCCGTCCGCCGGCGGGTTAGTGCCCTCCCCCGCCCCCAATTCCGTCAATCAGCCCCTTCCCGCCAAAATTCCCTTTCCACCCCATATCAAAATATAAACTCTCGCCAAACAAATTGAACCCCAAAGCGTTCTAAAATCTGAAAAATAAAAACGGCCCCCACGAAGAGCGGGAACCGGGGATGGGAAAAAATAAAAATAAAAGGAGGAGAACAGACTGGGCGCGCCCCAGGGAGATCCGCAGCACAGCAGAGGAGAGCGCAGCCACGTAAGTGGTAGAAGCCAGCGACCAGTCTGACGCGCCAACGGCTATGTCGTTGGCAGCAGCAGAAACAAACACACACACACACACACACACACGAGAGACACAAATTACACGAACTATCTAGACTAGTAGGGTGGTGGATGTTGCCCCTCCCCACCCTCCCGCCCTCCCTCCAGAATGGCAGGAAGGGTCAATGGTTTCACCCCAAGCAAAACGGAAATTACCTGTAGAATCTTTAAAAAATCTGTATAAGAAAAAAGAATCTTTAAAAAATAAAAAATAAAAATACCTGACAAATCTGGACAGCCTTTCAAGCCTTTTTATTCTCATTGTAGTATTACGCGGGGAACCTCGTAGCAGCCAACCGCGGGGCCATGTCCCACTATGTTTCGTGTATTTTTCAACGTGGTCACACTGTGGCCGTGGAATTTTCAGATCGGACAGATCGGATGGCAGGGAGCCCTGCATACTTGAGACCAGAACTAAACCTCGACAACTGGGGCATGGCCCCCGGAGTTCAAGCCCCCAAGGAGGGGAACACATGGGGGGGCCTGCACCCGTCCTGCTTGCGGCGGATACTGGGCAGGGGTCTGCATGGAGCATCAGGACAGAGCTTCTTCAATGGACCAGATCGCTGCGTCTCCCCCCTCTGGTCCCACCAGTCTCTGCTCAATCCCGCTTGGGGGGACCCCAAAGGCATATCTCTAGGTGGCCGGCACCAAGCTTGCCCAGGAAGGTACATGAGGCCAATGGGGATTGAACCCACGACCTCCTTTTTTGCTTTTCTTTGGGGGGGAGCCAACCCCTCCTAAATGCCACTTGAGTTCCCAGAATTAAAAAAAACAAACACTAAGCGACCAAAGGATCAGCGTCTGTAGTAGGAGCTAGCCCAGTAGGTAGCATCCCAGTCTGCCACATTGCAAATACAAGGAATAAACCTGAGATGCCCCTGCCTTATTTTTTTAAAAAAGAAAAAAGGATCAGTGTTTTTTTTTTTGTTTTTTTTTTTCCCTTCCCTTTGTAAGGAAAGGATGAGTGTTTCTCTCCCAAAAAAAAAAAAAAAAAAAAAAAAAAGGGTTTCTCCGCTTGCGCTTCCAGATCCGGAGATACGTGGAAAAGAAAAACACAACAATTGGACCTATACTGGAGTGAAGAGAAGAAGACCCTAGCTTGAAGAAGAAGAAGAAGAGGGGGGGGAAGACTACCCTAGCGTGGTCCCTGCCCTGGTAGTGGACTGGTAGGGAGGTGTTTGCAGTGTTAATGATAGCAGCTAGAGTAGGGCCACAGCAGTCCTTTCCATTCCACGGCATTTCATTTCACTCTGAGGGCATACATACTCACAGTAAGACTCTTCGGATCTCCTCTCCCGAGCCCTCATTGTGGTCAGATGCATGCAGGCAAAGCCGCAATTTCAGTCAGATACATACAGAAAAGTCCGACTGTATGCTCTTTCAGACAGATCAGATCAGATGTGCAACAATAGGGACCTCGATTCCAAACGAACAGCCCAACGTGAAACAAAGTTAACAAACAACACAATCAGCAAGGAAAAAAGAGAAAGCACAAGCAAATACCCAGGCCATGTGGCTGAATGGTTGGCTGAATGGTACAAAGCACTGGAATGCTGATAAACACACCTGAGGAGGTATTCACATTACGTAGGACTTTCCCGGATGTACCTAACTGGAATTCCACCTCGACGTAAAATGGGTATTTCGCCCTTTTTTTTTTGTTTTCCTTTTTTCAGTTATCAAATTACGAGAATCGCGTCCAGATGGGTTTTGGGTTGTAACTACCGTCTTCACCCGTATAGAACGCCCGTTCATTATCACTGCATCTAGACTGAAAGTTCCACCAAATACACTTATAATGACCCAGCATTCTATTCAGGTGAAGAGGGTAGTTCAACAGTGTGCCACAAATGATTAAAAAATATAGGCTACACCAACACAGTGCCACAAATGATTACAAAATCTAGGCTACCCCAAGGAGCCTAGCTCAGTTGGTATACCACTGGACCTTTGAAATAAGGGGTAACTACCTAGGGGGCAGTCAGGATTTCAGTTTTCTTTCTTTCTTTCTTTCTTTCTTTCCAATCTATATTCTTCTCTCTTTTTTTCTTTTTCTTTTTTTTTTTTTGGAGTCCCTTTGTGCAAGACCTCTATCCTGGTGGTGGTAAGAGAACCACCGGGATTGAGGCTTTGCCTAGCAGGCCGCTCCATCTATTGGTGGGGAGCGACACCTGCTGGAAACCGGGTCCAGCGTCCCATAATTACATCTTTGCTGCACAGTACCATAATGAGAGTGGCGTCGAAGTGCTGGAAACCGGGTCCAGCGTCCCATATCCCCTCTACTCTTCCATACTCTTCCATACCTACTTCTCTCAATCTTGTTTTGTATATATTTTCCTCATCTATCTCATCCTCTCTCTACTCTATGTATAGAGTACAGGGGGGACCACCAACCAAACCTGGAACTCTCCCCAGCCCACGGGCACAGCAGCGGTGCGAGAGCAAGGCTTGTCTCAGCTCCTCATCACGATGATGCGGGGTGATCAGGCATTGCCGACGGGGGAAACTGGCGATGCTAGTGCCGAGCATCTTTGGCCAGTCACTTGCACCTCCCCCTACCCCCCTCCAATCCGACATTAGCCGTGTCTAATGGCCAATATCATTTTTTATTATTATTATTTGTTTATTTTTTCTTCTTCTAAAGCCCAGGGTGTTGTAGAGGCCAAGGACCAGACCCACGGTGATTGCTGGTAGCGGCAGCCAATGGTTGTCCTGACAGGATAGGCCACCTACCCTACCCATCCCCAAGTTAGTACTCCCAGCGCAACCCCTGTCCCTACTATCCTACCTCAGTGTGACCAGCACTCAGGACCATCACCCTACCAGTATTGAGGGCAACTTGGAATCATTGCTGCATAGCAACCAACAATATTTGGGCAAGGTCCTGCCAATGCTGGCTGGGAGAGCCAATGGGTTATCTCTAGCTGGTAGAACACCAAGCTTGCCCAGTCACTATTTCAGTTTAAAAATCCTCTTCAGGCATCCCTCGAATACAACGCACCACCAACCGCCCTTTTTCTTTTTTTTTCTTTTTTTGGATCTATTCCGGAAGGTGATAGGAGCAGCCTCCCCTAGGAGACCTAGGACTGACAGCTCCATCTATTAGTGGGGAGCTCCACCTGCTGGACACGGGGTCCAGCGTCCCTCATAATTGCACAAATAAAACAACATGAGTTTGAAAGTAGAAGCCTGCCTCTTTGTCCCATTCTGTACTACCAGATTAACTACATCAACCTACACAAACAGGATTACCGCCTCTTCAGACTGTTATCAAACCGCCATATGTTGTGACGAACCACTTTCTGTAACGCGCGATTTTCTGCGCGGTTGCAATGAGGGGTCCCAAGCTGGGAAGATTGGGCCAATTACGGGAAATCGGGGTCGGTGGAGAATTGCATCAGTGTCCTCGCTTTTTCGTCCTTTTTTTTCGTCGCTTCTTTTTCGAAATGGCCGGGCACGGGGTCGGGTGTGTCTTGGGACGGCCGGTTGATTGATTGGTCGGATGGTTGTCTGGCGCGACGCAACGCACGCGCGCGATTAGTAAATGTTGACGTCGTTCTTTTGGTTCGGTTTTTGATCTTTTGGGCGCGGACATCGCGCGGGAAATTGCTTCGTTCTTTTTAAATTTCCTCTTGAATCTTTTACGAATTTTGTCGAGCCCCCAATGGCTCTCGGAATTTCGGACTTTCCTTCTAGAATTCGTGCTTTTTTGCTTTTTCGCATTAGATAGGAATTTAGGAATTCAGTAATTAGGATTTTTCCTGCCACGCGGCGCCTTTTGTTTACGCGCTTCTTCATGCGGCTGCAATGGTACTCTGATTAGTGGGCGCCCTTAATCGTATGTGTAACTGTAATTTTGGGCACGCGCCATTGGAACTGTATCTCTCTTCTTGCACTTCGTCTCTCCCGCCCTCCCTCTCTTTCTTTTGCTGAAATTTTGTAAGCCGCGGCTTGCATGCTCGGATCGATGCGTGGAGAAGGGTTACGTCCCCCATGCCGCGGCCGATCATGCAGAACGCAGGCGTTCCCTCTCTAATCTTCACTCTAAGTCTTGGTAACTCCGTGTTCTTCACGCATGCATGCACGCTATAAATTTCAGCTGCGCGATTAGTCAGCTCGCTTAACCCGTCGTTGGAAGCTCGCGGTTGCACGATCAGGAAGGGTCGACACACGAGCGAAGTAAGAGGTGAGTAGAGTAGGAGTTGGGCGACCTGACGGGCTGGTGCCGAACGCACGGGATTGACGTGGGCCACGACGGACTGTGGGCACGGGCAAATCCGACGGGTGCGGGAGGACTAAGCGAGGTGACAACTTCGTGGGTTGGTGCGCGACGACGGACTATCCGCATCGGAGAGAGAGAGAGAGAGAGAGAGAGAGAGAGAGAGA